AAAGAACATAGCTTTTAAAAAATCAATTTAAGGTGGATCAGAGAACTGAGAGTAAAGCCCAAAACCATAAAATTCATCAGGGACAAACTGGATCAAGCTTAGATGGCCTAGTCTACAGTATAAAGGGATTGCCAAATACAGCCGGAAATACAGCACAGTCTGAGAAGGGTAAAACTGATGGGTGGGACTTTCTCCCTGTGCATATAAAAACCGTTCCAACAGAGTGAAAAGAAAACCTACGACTAGGAAAAAACATTTGGCAGTACCATTTCAGACAAGAGTTTCATAGCCAAAGTTTCAGAATCCTACAGGGCCTCCACAAGGAAAAGACTGATAACCCAGTTACAAGAGGGGCAAAAGACTTTTCACAGAGGAAATATTCAGATGGCCAACAGACACATGAAAAAAATGTTCAAAATCACTGGCTGTAAGAGAGATGCAAATAAAAAACCAGTAGCAGTGACAAAGTTTAACAAGATGTAATAAATGTTGGAGGGCATGTGGAGAGACAGGAACTCATATATTGTTGGTAGGATTGTAAAATGGTACAACCACTCTGGAAGGTAGTTTGGCATTTTCTCAAATAGCTGAACATAGATATTTCGAATGACTCAGCTATTCCACTGCTTGGAATATACTCTGAGAAAATGAGAACTGAAGCACAAATGGAGATTTGTACACCGACGTTCATAGGAGCTGTACTCATCATTACAAGAATATGGAAACACCCAAACTTCCAAACACTATTGAATGTATGGAGAAATTGTGGTACACTCACACGATGGAATACTACGAAGCACTAAGGAGCAATAATTTTGAAAATTACTACATAACTTGGGAGAGACTAGAGGGCATTACACTGAGTAAACTAACTCAGTGTCGTAAGGATCAACACAGACTAAGATCACTATTGTAAAAACAGAAGGATAACTAGTAAAATGTGTATGGGGATCTAAGGAGGGAAGAGTTGGGAGCAGAGGGGTGAGAGTGGGCAGGGTGAATATCATAGGGTCGTACAATTTGGTGGGTGGAAGGGGGGAAAGTAAAGGAAATTGGAAAGATCCAGTGGGGATCTGCAAAGACAGGGTAATGGTGGGCACAGTTCAATGGTGGTTAAGTCTCCAAAACATAATGAATGAGAATGATTGTATGAAACACAGTATGAATGAAGGATAGTGTGAAACACAGTGCATATGAACTTTGCATGTAAAACCAATGTAAAATTTTTAAAAAGTTAAAAAATAAAAAGAAAGGGGGAAGTAAAAGTTCACAAGCGTTTAGCACACTTCTGTCTACTTCCAGAATATTTCTATCCCACCCAAAGAAGTCGAGACTCATCAATAACCACCCTCTCCACTCCAATCCATGTTGTGGTGTGTTGTGTTGTCTTGTGCAGTGTGCTGTTGTGATGCGCTGTGATGCACCATGATGATCTGTGTTGTGATGTGATGTGTTGTGTTGTCTTGTGATGTATTGCACTATCGTGCTGTGTTGTGCTGTGCTCTGTTGTGATGTGTTGCACTGTGATGCTCTGTGCTGTGTTGTGATGTCATGTGTTGTGATGTGTTGTGATGTATTGCACTGTGATGCTCTGTGTTGTGTTGTGTTGTGATGTGTTGTGATGTACTGTGATACTCTGTGTTGTGTTGTGTTGTGATGTGTTGTGATGTGATATGATGTACTGTGATACTCTGTGTTGTGTTGTGTTGTGTTGTGTTGTGTTGTGATGTGTTGTGATGTGATGTGTTGCACTGTGATGCTCTGTGTTGTATTGTGTTGTGATGTGCTGTGTTGTGTTGTGATGTGATGTGTTGTGATGTGATGTGTTGCACTGTACTGCTCTGTGCTGTTATGCTGTGTTGTGTTGTGATGTGATGTGATGTGATGTGATGTGATGTGATGTGTTGCACTGTGATGCTCTGTATTGTGCTATGATGTTGACTCATCTCTGACTCATAGTGACATTAAGTACAATTGAATGAAGCCCTGCCAGATGCCGCACCGTTAACCCCAGAGGGCAACCAACCTACTCTGTCTCCATGGATTTACTGATTATGGTGTTTCTTATAAATGGAATTAAGTCTGCTTTTCACAACTGTGTGAGGTGGGCATGGTTATCTCATTTTATAGATAGGTAAGTGGAGGCTGAATAAAGACCCTCAAGGAAATGAGCTGATACGGTGGCTGCAGACGTGGCCTTAAACACGGGAGAGATCGTGAGGCTGGTGCAGAAGAGGGTGGCGTTTTGTTCTGTGGTACATGGAGTCTCTAAGAGCTGGTGCCCACTCGATGGCGCCTGACAAAAACAACAACAAATGAGGTTTCACACCTATTCCAGGATCGTGTTTCCTCAAAGGGCATGAAGACAGAAGAGGCGAGTGGGAAGAGCTTTGGGGTTTGTTCCACCAAAGAAGAGTGCATATTAGATCATCAGTGCCCTTTCATTTGGGATTGAAAAGCCAAGGAAAGCACTATTCTGTTATCCTAATTGGCTTGTTCCAGGCGTCTCAGAGCCTGAGGAGTGCAAGGTGGTTTTAGCTGCAACAATGAGAGTTTCTAAGTCCCTGGCTCTATATTGATCTTTGAGAGTGTCAAAAAGCAGCCATGGTTTTCAAAGCAAACTTGTGATTTCACAGCTCAATTGCTTAGGACAAGACTGAAGTTTTTAAAAGTTGGCTTCAGTCTCCAAAGAGGATTAAAACAACAAAACTATATCATCTGAACTTGATCTTAATATTCCAGGCAAAGAGTGAATTTACTAAGTGAATGGATCAGAGACTGCCATGTAGAAAACGGCCTGGGCATGAGGCCATGGACGGTCCTCAAGAATGCAGGCAGAAGGGGTAGCACAGGAGGCGTCATGGCCAGCAGAGTCCCAGGGAGGACGTGGGCAGACAGAAGCTCATGTGGGTTTGTAATTAATGCCCTCCAGCAGGACGTGCACAAGCGGCTCTCCTCCTCGCCCTCCTGACCCCCGAGCCTTCCGGTCACTCTGCAGAGTGTCTCTAGGAGCCCATGAAGTGAGCCAAGTGCTCCTGTCACCTGAGGGAGGAAATCAGACCTGCTGGTGGATGTGCTGTTTGTATTCTCCTCTTTGGTGACTGAAGCCAATAAATTCCTTCTAAACAACCAAGTAATATGGTGGGTACCAGAGCTGTATCAACACTTTGACCAATCCATCCAGCCACTGGTTTATCCACCCACCCAACAACCATCTTGCCCTCCATCAACCGTTCACACATTCACTCATCTACTCCCCTGTATACTCATCTTTCCATCCATCCATCCATCCATCCATCCATCCATCCACCTTTCTGTCCATCCATCCATCCATCCATCCATCCACTCATCTTTCCATCCATTCATCCATTCATCCATCCATCATCCATCATCCATCCATCCATCCATCCACCTTTCTGTCCATCCATCCATCCATCCATCCATCCATCCATCCATCCATCCATCTTTCTATCCATCCACCCATACATCCAACTAAACATCCATGCTACCAACCATCCATGCAATCATATTCATCTCAGTCCACTTACCTGTGTAACCATCATCCACCCCTTTATCCTTAGGTCCTCCTTTTTACCCATCTACTCATCCAATCAACCATTCATGCAACCAGCCTCCCCTCCGTCTACCCTAACCATCTTCCTCCCTCAGTCCATGCACTCATCTATCCATCCATCTGATCACTCACCCGTCTCCCCATCCATCCACCCATCCGCTCATCTATCCAGTCACACATACATACGTCCCTTTGTTCAATGACAGTCTCTCATCTTTGAATCAGCTGTCCCTGATCGCCACACCTGGAGATGTGATCTGGTGCAGGATTAAGCCGTCTGGGCTGGGGTCTTGTGGCCTTGCGGTCTCGTTCAGGCAGCGTTTATGCTGTGCCGTCGAAGTCTACCTTCCATGCTTCCTTCTCTCTCAGCAAGAGGAAGATGCTCGCGCATCCATGTCTGGACTTTCGCAAGGACCACAGCTGGATATGCACGGAGCTGCCCGCACTTAGCTGAGATGAAGACATCATCTCATCAGCACTGTTCGCCCCTGGAAACTCTGAGAGTCTTGGATGCCCCCCTCTTCTCTGGGGCAGTGAGAGCAGCCTGACTTCCCATGCTGGGCCACCTGCCCGGAGCCTTAATGAGAAGGATGGATGTTCAAAGAGAAGGGACCGAGTACTTCACTCATTCACTTTTGTGTCAAGAGCATCAGCACTTTTAGGACTCCAGGCTGGGCAAGCAATGCCCAGGCACTGGCCCCCTCTGAGGTGCGGCCTTCCTGATCCCCATCAGAGTCCCCAGAGAAGGCTGCACGCAACTGCTGGGCCGATCAAGCCCAGGCCTGGCCCCACAAGTGAGCCTGTGGTGTAACACTGGACACCACAGAGTCCTAGTATCCAGCTCCTGCCCTGAGCAAATCTGCACCCCAGGGTGGAGAGGACCCTGCAACTGAGGTCTGAGCACTGGCTGCCTGTGGCCCATGCCCTGACTCAGCTGAGCACATCTGAGGTCACTTGTGAGGACACTGTCCACTTCACGTCCACCTCCCTCCCAGAGCCTCCAGTGTATGTAGTGAGAAGCCCCTTAAGGGGCATGGTTCCCCTGTTCTGAGCTGGGCACCTCCCTGGGTGCCCTCTGGCCTTGTGTGTGTCCAGTCTCTGTGCAGAATGGAATGCCCCCTCATATTGGCCCCACCAAGGTTCCAAGACACAGAGATAGACTGCAAAGACAGCCTCGGATGGGACAATGGTCCCAGAGTGGACAGCAGGCCTGGTTTGCTCCAGCTGAGGCCCAAACAGCGGCAAGGGCTTCCCTGGTGAGAGGGGGTCCTGCTTGGGCTAAAGGATCAGAGTCCTTATTCCAGCTCCTCTGATATGTATCGAAAAGTCAAATGTCCAGGAGTCAGGGCCCTCAGCCCATATGAGGAATTGGGGCACATCTCCCCCGAGAGGTCCAGAGACCAGGAGCTGAAGGAAGGGGCCAGATATGGGGGCTTACAAGGGCAGGTGTTCTTCACCTAAGATTGGGGTCACCTGTGGTCCAGGTAGCCTTGGAGCGTGGGTGGAACAGGCAGGAGGAGCTCCCAGGAAAGGCAGGATCAAGTCTGACTCGATCTCTGGTTTGCAGCCCACACGGCAGAGGTGGTGGCCGGGGGTGGCCACCTGCACTGGGAAACCCGCTGTCATCAGCCCCTGCCTGACGGAGCACGCGTGGCCACACTGCTGCCCCCACGCCTCCACGGGCCCTGGATCTCCACCGGGTAAGACCTAGTCACCACTACCGGAGGCTACTGAACCAGTGGCCACATCTGTAAAATGGGCCAGTTCATCCAGTTATTCACGAAGGCACCACTTGCCTCCTTTCTGCAGGGCGCATGCTGGGAGGCAAGGACAGGGCTAGTGGGTTTGATGTCCATTCGCTTTACTGAGCACCTACTACACACACGTATGTGGACCTGTCATACAGGCACGTATGAGCACCTTGAGTCTCCACATGCGTGAGCACCTAACACGTACACACTCAACAAGCGTCGATGCCCGTGATCAGAACAAGAACTTAAAAATAAGTGATGTAACAGGTGGTTGTTGTTGTTGTTGTTAAGTACTGTCAAGTTAGCATCCACTTGTAACTGACCCTCTAGCCAGTTTTTCAGAGGCAGTAAATTGCACAGGAGGAGACTGCCCATGTTTCTCCCATGGAGCAGCTGGTGGATTCGAACTACATGCCTTTAGGACGGCAGCACAGCTCCTTACCACTAGGCCACCAGAGCTCCGTGAAAGGATGCTAAACTTTGCAATGAAGAAAGTGAAACCAAGTCTCTGATGGTGAGTTACCAGGTCAGGGAAGGCTTCTTGGGGGTGAGAGCTGAAAGGAGTCAGCCACCCCGAGAATCAGGGAGAATCAGGGGTGGGAGCTGGTGCAAAGGCCCTGGGGCAGGAAGTAGCAGATCCAGGCAAAGGTTGCGCCTGTTTCTGCCTCTCACTCTGCAGAGGCCTGTCTCTGGGCTCATTTATGGGCCCAAACTCCACAACAGCCAGCAGAGGTCACCCCCACCATCCCCTGCGCACGACCTTTGCCCTCCCACCCCTGCTCCCCAGCCCTCCTGGGTCAGGGATGGCACTCTCTGCATAACTTCCTTCTGCATCTCAGGAATTCCTCGGCCAAACATCTGCTTGGGCTTGAGATGAAGAGGAGACATCGCAAAGCCACCCAGCTCCTTCCTGGGACCTTGGAGCTGCACTTAGGGGCCGCTGGCCAGGGTCACTCAGGGGCAGGACTAGAGCAGAGTGGAGGGGGGACAGAGGGCGTCACTGCAGGCAGCTCTTCTTAGGAAAGAGTTTTGCTGGTCTCTGGACAGGCCTCCCCTCAGGGGTGCAGACAGGAGTCCCAGACTTCACCTTGTTCGAGCCTCCTCTCTGAGAAATGGGCCAGCAAAGGGCAGGCAAGATGCCTCTCACCACATTACACCACTGCCTGTAGTTCCCCAAGTGGGACAGACGGTGAGCACACCCCCAGATGCTAACCAAAAGGTGAGGCACTAGTTCACCCAGATGCACCTAAGAAGAAAGGCCTGGCAATCACCTCAAAACCCAGCCCCTGAAACCCCGGCAGAGCCCACGGTGCCCCTGAGTCAGTCGGCTCTCCAGCAGCTACTTTTGATATTGTTGGTTACTTAATCTCTGTCTTTGGACTAACTTGTTTTACTTGACTTCAGCACATTTACTTACTTTTATAAGGAGCCCTAGTGGCGCAGCAGGGGAACTCTGGTGACCTAGTGTAAGAAACTGTTCTGCAATCCCAAAGGCACACAGTTCAAATCTACCAGCCGCTCTGTGGGAGGAGGGTGTGCAATATCATCCCGTGTGATTTACTGCCTCTCAAAACCCACTGGAGGGTCAGTTATGGGTTGGTTCTGACTCAACAGCACACAACAAGTGGTGTGCCATTATCTCATTAAATAGAATGGGCATACAGTAAACCACAGACTCTTAGGTGTGACTTGATGATTGTCAAAGGAAGTGCAATATGACCATGGAAATAGCACTGTTACTAACTCTAAATGCAGAATAAGGTACAATGAAAACAAAACAATGTAATTGCATCCACACTACATCTAGTGCCTGTGAAGGCCCTGGGTCTGTTTTCTCGGGGACACAAGGGAGGGCAGGGAAGTGTTGAGGGCGCAAGAAGACCTCCCTTCTCTGTAGTACAATTAGAGTAACCAAAAGAGGGGAGATTAGAGGGAGATGGGGAACTATTTTCTGGATGGTAGCCAGGGCTTCAAACTGGTTCATACTGAGAATTTGCCTTTTGACTCCAGATAGACCAAATCAGAATCTACATTTTTAACAAGATCCCAAGGCATACCAAGAGTCCCCTGGGGATCTCGTTAAACTATAGATTCCTCCCAACCTTCAGTTCCCACCTGGTCTTTTGCATCACCTGCAGACTAAGGCCTGTGGGCAAAATCCAGCCCACTATCTAAATGTTGCAAATAAAGTTTTATTGGAAACCCAACATGCCCATTCCTTTACATTCATTCATGCATTAGCCCTACAATGGCAGAGTTGGGTAATTACAATTTAGGCCATATGACCTGCAAATTGAACATACATTTTATCTGATGTTGTACAGGAAAAGGGTTCAGAACTGTAGTTAGGTCAATAAATTCTGTCATAGATCCTGAATGAATTCTGGTCAAGGAAGGACTAAGGAGAGGAAACCATAAGTAAGTAGCTACCATCAATCTATCCATCCATCATCCACCCATCCATCCATCCATCATCCATCCATCCATCCATCCATCCATCCATCCATCCATCTTCCATCCATCCATCATCTATCCATCCATCCATCCATCATCAATCAATATATCCATCCATCCATCCATCCATAATCCATCCTTGTATACATCAATTATCCATCCATTATCACACACCATCTATATATGCATCCATTATCCATCCATCCACCATATATATCTCCATCATCCATCCATCCATCCATCCATCCATCCATATATACATCCATTATCCATCCATCCATCCATCATCCATATATGCATCCATCATCCATCCATAATCCTTACATACATCCATTTACTATCCATCCATAATCCATATATACATCCCTTATCCATCCACTCATCCATCCATCACCCATATATACATCCAGTATCTATCCATCCATTATCAATGAACCATACATCCATCATCCTTACAGCCATAATTCATCATCAATACATCTATCCATTATCCATCCAGTGCCTGCCATCAATGTATATACTCATCATTTGTCTATCATTATCCACTATCCATATGCACATCCATCATCCATCCATCAATGCTTACATCTGCCAATCATCTCTCATCAAGACATCCATCCATCTACCACCATCCTTCATCCATTATGCATCTCACACTCATACATTCCACCATCCATCCGTCATACATGCCTACATCATCCACCATCATCCATCATCTGTCCATCTGTCATCATCATCATGCATCCATCCTCTTCCGTCCACACACATGGCCATCATTCCCCATCAATACCTCTAGCCATCATTCATCCATACATCCACTGGCCATCTACAACCACTTACCCCTTCACCATCCATCTATCCATCATCCATTGTCCACCCAGTCACCATCCACTCATTGTCTATCAAGTCACCATCCATCCATCATCCACCATTCATCCACCCGTCCATCCATTCACCAGACACTTAGGAGCATCCAGTATGTGCCAGGTGGTATCTAGCACCAGAAACAGGTGGAACCCTGGCCTTCCTCACATACAGAATAGCCAATCTCCACGTGGCTGCAAATGAGCGCCAGTGCCTCACTTTACTTAATGCTTTGCTGACCCTGTGATGTGGACCTGCCCCCTCCTGACTCCAGTAAAGGGAGCCAGAAGCTGGGTTCTTGTCCAGCTTAAGTGTTTATGAGGGACACAGATGGAATCTGAACCCCTGACTAAACAGCCCAGAGGGATCCTTGGGCCCGAGGAAATTCGGAGAGGGGCCCTGGGTAGTCCTGCTGGGGAAGATGCTGGCTTAGTGGAAGGGATGGAGAAGGGACTTTGATCGCCTTTCTAGGCATTGTGTGGAAGGCCCAGGTCCCAAAGTTGGAAATGCTCAGGCCAGTCAGGGAAACCAAGGCTGGAGGGGCCACCCCAGAGCTGGGTTGGGAGTAGAGGTTGGTGGGAGCTGGGGCCACATTGAGGCTGGGGTAGGGGACCCCCAGTGCAGGCTCTCACTGTGCTGCCCACCCTTCTCCCTGCCCGGCAGCTGCGAGGTGCGTCCTGGACCCGAGTTCCTCACCCGCTCCTACACCTTCTACCCCAACCGCTTCTTCCGGGCCTACCAGTTCTACTACCGGGACCCCTCCTGCCACGAGCCTGCACACTCACTGCTCATCAAGGGCAGGGTGCGGCTGCGCCGGGCCTCCTGGGTCACCCAGGGCGCCACCGAGGCCGACTACCACCTGCACAAGGTGGGCATCGTTTTCCACAGCCGCAGCGCGCTGCTCGCGGTGGCGGGGCGCCTGTGCCGGAGCCTGGCCTGCAGGGCCTGCGCCCGGCGGCTGCCCGTGGCCGGAGCCTGGCTGCCCGGGGCCCTGTACGAGCTGCTGGGCGCCCGGGCCGAGCGAGACTGCGCCATGGCTCTGGGCTTCACCATGCACGAGCTCAGCCTGGTGCGCGTGCAGCGCCACGTCCAGCCGCAGCCCCGCGCGCCGCCGCGCCTGGTGGAGGAGCTGTACCTGGGGGACATCCACACCGACCCCGCCGAGAGGCGCCTCTACCGGCCCACTGGCTTCCAACGCCCGCTGCAGAGTGCCCTGGTGAGTACATGCTCTGGGTGCCAGCTCGGCTGCGCCTGGTGGGCTTTACCTGGCGGCCACTGCAGGCCCACTGAAGGGAACACACTACTGCCAGCTGGTGCCAACTCGGTGCGAACTTCGCTGGGTCTCCGAGGCTGTAAGTCACGGGGTGAATAGTCAATGGACTCAAATCACTGACGACTGACGTAGCGCTCCGCAACAGCCGCGAGCCTGGTGTTCGCTCTGCACCTGCTCTGATCTCGCTGCTCCCATCTGGGCTTTCCAGCCACATGGCCTTTGTACCTGCTGCTTGGCTACTGGAGACCTTTTCGGCTGACTTTTCCCACAAGGAAAGTGCCCAGCCTGCCCCTCTCCTGCCCGGGTCCTCCCTATGCCGTCCTTGTGGACGCTCCAGGTTCCCATTGACACTGGTACTGGATCCAAGATCCCCTTCTGGTCCCAGTCCTCACCTCCACCCTCCTATGTGTGACCCACCGGCACATCTCCAGCCCTGAAACCGCCCTGCTCGCTTCCTTGATTCATGCCCCACCCCCGCAGCAGAACTAGACTACCCAGTGCTGGTCCAGCTCGAGGCCATGTCAGCCCATGCTGCTGGACAAGTTAGGGAGATGTGGCCCAACCCGTTTAGAACCCTGGGGTGACCCCTAAACTACAGATCTGCAGGGTCAGGCCCTGGAATCCACTCAGTTCTCACTAGTCAGAGCTGTGGGTCTGCAACCTCCCTGGCCGTCCCCTTCCACGGGCACAGTTGGACCTACAGACCTGGGACCTGGGACCCGCAGCCCTGGGTGGGTGCTTTGGCCTCTGACAGTTAGCCTCTGGGCCAAGGGGAACTATCTGCTCTTTGACGTGTTCACTCTCAGCCACAAAATGACTTTGACTCAAGCCTTTTCTTTAGCTTCTGTCTTCAGTTACACCATCACAAACATGCTATCCAGAACAAGGGTGGCTGTAAGGCCGTCACTATTGGTTTTGCCGAGTGAACAAACAGATCCAAGGCAGCTCTACTCCTGAGGGTGCAGAGAGTCAAGCAAGGCTTTCCTGTGCTGAAGCCCTCCTGGGGCTGGTGGGCCTGTGGGCCCCTCCTCAGAATTCCTGCTGAGTCTGAGCTGACAGAGCCCCCTCAGGACAGTGGGCCTCTCCTCTGGGGCAGAGCGTCAGCCCCCCTGCCTCTCACTCTAACCAGTCACCGTCCGTCCCCAGGATGTGCAGATTCTCCTACTCTTTACAATCTATGTGTCACCCCAAACGACACCGGAAGCACTTTGCATGTCTTTGTGGCCGTGTGCTGGGCAGTGAAGAATTTGAGCTACCCGACATGGAGAGCAGTGTTGAATATCCCAAGGACTGCTTAAAGAACAAACAAATCTGTCTTGGAAGAAATGCAGACAAAATGCTTCTTAGAAGCAAGGACGAGGAGACTTCATCTCACAGACTTTGGGTGTGTTGTTAGGAGGGAACAGCCCCTAGAGAAAGACATCATGTTGGAAAAAGTAGAGTCAGCAAAGGAGAGGAAGACCTTCCGCCAGATGGACCAACCCCGTGGCTGCATCATTGGGCCCAAATGCGGCAGAGATTGTGAGGCGGGGTGGGGCCTGGACAGGGGGCTCTTCTGTTGAATGTGGGTGGGGGTCCAATGAGTGAGAGCCAACTCCATGGGCCCGAGACCACCAGCACCACCCCGCTGACGGTCACCACGGGGATGCTTGGCCTCCGTTCTGCTTTGCACTGTAAACAAGTATCCCTTTCACAGTCATCTTAGTTCCACATTACACACATTTTGGGGTTGGTGATTTCATTATTTAAAATGCCCCCAAGCCCAATGGTGACATGCTGTCTGGGGCCACTGAGCACAAGGAGGTACGAGGTGCCTTCCAGTGACAAGGAGCGTGTCAGGTAAATGTTGTTGACGTGAGAAATAGTCCTGTCACCCACGTGTTCAGTGCTAATGAATCAACACAACGAAATTAAAACAAAATGAAATTTTAAAGTGTTCAATAAGGGGCTTTAAGCAGAAGCACACAGAAAATGAGGTTACATATTGATCATCTGATGTAAATGATATGACCAGAGGCTCACAGAAAACTAACCCTGTGTTTCCCTTAAAGCAATGGCTCAGTATTGGCTAATGCAGTGTGCACGCCCTCTTCATAGAACATAGCTACCACAAAGAATGAGAATTGACTTGGTTGAAATAGTTACCAAATCCTGGAAGGTACGTCTGGAGAGACAGGAATATGGCTTCTTCTTCATTCACCCTCGTGTCCATTACTGATGTGTTTAGACAAGGTTCTGAGGAGCTACATCACTGTTAACTTCATCTGGGATATCTGGCTTCCAATGAGGACAGCATCGGAGGCCCAGCTGCTATTGGGAGCCACCTACATTCACATTTACAGGAAATGTTCATTTTTGTTAGAGGTTAATGAAGATGCAACCCAGGCTAAGACTCCAGGTTAAAAACCTCTGTGCTCAAAGAGCACTGAATATTTGTCAGAAAACAAAGGGACAGATAGGCAGATGGACATTTATCAAATGTACATAGATGGCTGGATAAATAATTGGATGTGTGAGTGGATGAATGAAGGAAGGACGGACGGATAGATGGATGGGTGGACAACTGTCTGAAGGATAGATTGAGGGAGGGAGGCAGAATAATAGTGGATAGATGGATATATAGACGGATGTGTGAAGGAAGAAGTGAGTGAATAGATGGATGAGTGGGTAGCTGGATAGACAGACAGGATATGGCTGGATGGATGGCTGGATGAGTGGATGGATGGATGGATGGATGGATGGATGGATGGATGGATGGGGAAAGGATGGCTGGATGAGTGGATGGATGGATGGATGGATGGATGGGGAAAGGATGGATGGGGAAAGGATGGATGGATGGGGAAAGGATAGATGGATGGATGGATGGATGGATGGATGGATGGATGGGGAAAGGATGGATGGATGGGGAAAGGATGGATGGATGGATGGATGGATGGATGGATGG